CTGAAGCATCCCTTCCCCCGAGGGACCAGCCACAGGACGACGGTATAGTATAGAGTAGCGTTTATTCGGGGCATGGGGAGAGGAGTTGAGAGGATAATAGAGACAGAGAAAGGCAGAGCGGGGTGGGGGGAGAGTAATGGGGAGAGAGGCAGAACAGGGGGGAGAGAACAGAGCAATAAGGCAAGAGAGGAAGGAGGGGGCCAGCAGCTCCTTTTATAATGAGTCAGGCATACCTGGCTGTTGCCAGGTAACTGTGGGGCAAAGCCTAGACAAAACGCTAACAGTGTGAATCACTGGCCTCTACCTCCTGCACATTTATTATCAGTCCAGAATTCAAGATGGCTCCTGGAATGCCCTAGCCATGACCCTTCCTGCACCACTCCAGGGTATTTATTGCTGACACACAGTGAGGGAAAGAAAGATGCCCAGAAAGCTCTTTCCCTTGTTGCTGTCAAGATTCAGGGTGAACACTGATCCCTATTCCTCCTCCTCCTCAAGCCATCAGTGCTGTTCCTCCTGCTTCCTCCATTCCCTTCTGTCTGTCCCTGAGCAGGGACAAGTGCCTCAGTGAATTGCCACCCTATACAGAGCGCCCTCTGCATTACTTCACAGGTGAATGATCTCATATCTAGTTTATGAGGTTTGCTGTTTTGTTGAGACAGGGTCTCATGTAGACCAGTTTGGCCTCCAACTTGCTGACTAGCCAGCTGAGGATGATCTTGAACTTCTGATCCAAACTGCTGAGATTGCTTATGTACCACAGTGCCTCATGTTATGTGGTTCTGGGAATTGAACTCAGGACTTCCTGCATATTAGGCAGGTACTCTATCAGTGAGCTACATCCCCAGCTCAAATCTAGCTTTGAAACAGCGGTTTTGGAAGGGCTTATACTGCCTGCTGGCTGGTGTAGCCAAGAACAAGGCACAAGGTTCACTTTGGTCCTGAAATTTCCGGCTCAGATGATGGCAGGCAGCTGGAGTCTTCTGAACTCTCCGGGTCATTTCAACTCCATGCTTCTAGAACATAATTTGAGCCAAAGTGTCTTCTTTGATCTGTAAATTATTTACTTGAAAGGTGTCACAAAGTAATAAAAATCACATGTAGTCCCACACTTTGAATCCCATTGACTTAACAGAATGTAGTTATACGAAGTCAGCACTTATCCCAGAAAAATCTAGCCTATGTGACAGCAACTCGAACAGTAGGGAGAACAAAAGAGTCAGAAGAACTGAGTGTGAGACTTGCAGTATGATCATCGGGCAACTGTGCTCCTGTCTGAGCCTCAGTTTCATCTGTGTCTGTTTTCAGCTGAGTGACAGCTCTCAATCCCAGTGAGAAGTGGTTCTGCTAGGGGGAGGGGGAGTGAAGCTTCTGCCCATATCCAGACCCCAGAGCTGACACCCTCCCACAGAGAACAACCAGAATTTAAGCCAATGATCCACTTAGCACAGAGGAGTCCCATCCCTGAATTTTTAATGAACCACAAGATCAACAAGGGACAGTCCCCAGATCTGAAAATCTTGGGATCTTGCCACAGTTCAGTTCCTAGAGTCTCCAATAGAGGCTTTTATAGACTCAGCCAGACTTACGACTGGTCAGGAGCTGTGCTGGCTAGTTTTCTATCAACTTAGAACAAGCTATGGTCATTAAGGAGGAGGGAACCTCAATTAAGCAAGTGCCTCCATAAATCGGGCTGTACACCAGCCTAGATAGCATTTTCCTAATTAGTGATTGATGAGTGAGGGCCCAGCCCGCTGTGGGTGATGCTACACTCTGAACTGTTGGGTTTGCTGCTATAAGAAAGCAGGATGAGCACACTATGAGGAGTAGACCTGTAAGCATCACTCCTCCACGGCCTCTGCATCAACTCTATCTCCAGGTTCCTGCCCTGGTTGAGTTCTTGTCCTGATTTTCTTAAGTAATGGACTATGATTTGGAAGTGTAAGCAAATAAACTCTTTCCTCCCCAAGTTGCTTTGGTCATGGTGTCAATCACAGCAATAGTAACCCTAACTAGGAGAGGAACTGAGAAAGACATTCTTATCCAGAGCAGGATTAGGCACAAGCTTGGAGAGGAAGGGTGCTTGCAGGAGAGCGCCCCACTACCCTTGGCACTCTGCCTACTCCTCTAGAAGAGCACTAAGTCTTGGCAGGGAACTGACCTCACAGCCTCTAAGCTGTTTGTCCAGCTGTCCTCGCCTCCCCAGGCCACAGGTTCTTATATACCTTGGCCTGGAGAATGTATCAGGCATCTGGACACCCATGGAGTCCAGCTAGAATCAACACATGCAGGGAGGGGGAGGCTGGGATGAATTACAATCTCCTCTGGGTCTCTTCTCTACATACAAAGCTAGCTTACCTCCAAAACCCCTTTAGCTTGGCAGAAAATACCCCTAGAGCCACAGTTAAGAAGAGTTTCAACTCTGGCCATAAGTAGTAGCTCCAGGCCTATAATACCAGCACTGACTCAGAGAGTCAGGAGTTTGAAGCCAGCCTGGGATATATAATGAGACCCTATTAGAAGAGAAAAAGGAGGAAGCCAGCTTTGAAATTAAGACCTTAGTCTAACACCTCATGTGTCTGAAAACCTCAGTAGACAATAAACCCCATCCAATTTAATGCATAAAACTGCAGTCTGCATAAGCATAGTATCTAGCTTTTTTTTTTTCCTGGTAAGAGATTCTTTAACCACGAGTCTCATCAAGTCGAGGGTACTATCAGACTTCATTCTGTAGCCAAAACTAATCTTGGAATATTGATCCTCCTGCCCAAGGTGGTTTTGAACTCCTGGACTCAATCTTCCTGCCTTGGGCTCCCCAGGAGCTAGGAACTACAGGCACAAATTTGCATACTTGGACAAAGGCTTCTTTAAACTCTGCCTGTGTTGGCTCACTTAACCCTCCAAGAACAAAATTAAGGGGACATGAAAATCATCCCAATCTTCAAAGAGGTAAACAGGAGTTATGACTTGCTCCTGTCACACAGTATGAGAATATGGAAAAAGGATTGACTCCAGGATTCGGTGTTTTACACCAAGATGCTCCTTACAAATCAAAGCCATAGAGTAGCAGCCTGCCCTCAGCCTCCTCAGTCTGTGATCCAACCAATCGGATCCAAGAGAAACATCCAATTAGTATTCAACACTGCCTCCGATTGTGAGTAACCAGGGCTCACGATCCAAAAACTGTTGGAGGAATTCAAGTCAGGTCCTAAACTTGAAGCTAAAAATAAGATAGGTTCATGCTCATTTATGAAAAATTAAAATTAGGTGAGCAGTGGTGTCTCATACCTTTAACCACAGCACTTTAGAGGCAGAGCCAGGTGGATCTCTGGATTCAAGGCCAGCCTGGCCTACAGAGTGAGTTCCAAGACAGCCAGGGCTACAGAGAGAAACCTTGTTTTGAAAATAATAGAGAGGTAGCTCAGTGGTTAAGAGCATTTGCTACTCTTGTATAGGATCCCAGTTCAATTCCCAGTACCTACATCGTGGCTCACAGCTGTCTGTAATGCCAGTTCCACAGAATCTGACACCAGATTAGTACCAGGCACACATATGGTGAACAGATACATGCAAGCAAAACACCAATACATATGAAATAAGTAAAATAATTTTTAGAAATAAAAAACACAAGGGAAAAATTAAACCAAGACAATTAAAGGAGGAAACAGGGGCCAGTGAGGTGACAGGTAAAGGCTTGCTGCCAAGCCTGATGACATGAGTTCAATCCCCAAAGCCCATATGGTAAAAAGAGAGAACCCACTCCTACAAGTTATCTTCAGACCTCCATGCACAAGTCATCACACACACACACACACACACACACACACACAAAGATAGATGGATGGATGGATGGATAGATAGATAGATAGATAGATAGATAGAATAGATAGATGATAGATATGATAGATAGATAGATAGATAGATAGATAGATAGATAGATAGATAGATAGAT